TCTTTCATACAACATGCAACAGAAATGAAGAATTCTATAGGAAGTAAATACCAGCATCAGGAATAAAAACTTTTTTTCTAAATTCATATTGTTATAATAACACTTTCATTCTGATATATTTATACACACACATTCTGAGGAGAGTTTGGGTATATATATTGTTATTATTCGTCCGTCCGTCTGTCACGCTTTCCTCTTCCTCAAACTCCTCTTACAGTTTAAGCAATAACCAATCATATCTTGGAATATGATAGATGATGTCCTGTAGATGTGCAGTAAGGTTTCAAAATTTTCAATTTCATCCTGAGGCCCAAATTGGAGTCGAAAAACGATGTATTTTCTACAAAAACCTGGTTCCCTGAACTCCTCTTCTGTGGATGATTACGCCAGGCGATGGGCCAGACATGAAAAAGAAGACCTTGACAATATGTCAGAATGGATTAAGTGTATCGGATGTATGTTAGAATCTCGTATTAAGCGATTAAGGGACAATATGAAAACCATCTATCCTTCTGTGTTTAATAATTCAGAAAGAATTAGATATATTACACGATCAGTATGTACAGGTCCCAGCTGACAAGCAGGTAACAACATTGTTTTTGTTTGTAAGCCTCATTATTTGAATTGTATTTTAAAGGAAATGGGATTTAATTCTACAAGTGGTAATCCAGCTTATGCCATAGCTCCCTTTTAAGGAGGAAATTCTTCAAAATCAAATGCCAGTTTTAAATATTTTTAATATTCCAAACAACCAAAATGAATTTGAATTACCATATCTATATTGAATTCCGAAACTTCATAAAAATCCTTACAAATAAAGATACATAGCGGGTTCCAGTAAATATTCTACCAAGCCTCTTTCTTTATACTCCTCACCAAAATATTAACAGCAGTGAAGGAGAAACTTCATGAGTACTGTGCAACAATATATTCGAGAAGTGGTGTAAATCAGATGTGGATTCTTAAAAATTCCAGGAAAATTTGAATACACAAAATTTTACCAAAATCAATACCATCAAAACTTACGACTTTTCAACTCTATACACAACCATTCCCCAAGACAAATTCAATGACATCATTGTCAGCTGCTTTTTCAATAAAAATGGAACTCGTAAATTTACTTACCTTGTCATTGGTCACTTGCAAAATTATTTTGTTAAAAAACATTCTGTTTGTAGACACAAGTACTCTGAAGTTAATATTGAAAAGATGCTTGAGTTTCTGACTGACAATATCTATGTGATTTATAAAGACCAGGTCTTCCAACAATCTGTTGAAATTCCCATGGGTACTAATTGCGCCCCATTATTAGCAGACCTATTTTTGTTGTATTCATATGAAGCAGAATTTATTCAAAATCTTATACATGAGAAGAAGAACACACTTGCTGTGGCCTTCAGCTCGACATTTAGATATATCGACGACGTATTATCAATTAACAATAGTTATTTCCATTCACACGATATATCCCAGTGAGATTAAAAAAAAGATACCACAGTCTGACACATCTGTTTCATATTTGGATATTTTTCTAGAAAAAGACGTTAATAGTAACCTAACAACTAAGTTTTATGATAAACGTGATGACTTTAACTTTTCAATCGTCAACTTCCCTTACTTATGAAGCAATATACCCTTATCGCCTGCATATGGGGTTTACATCTCGTTAGATTCGATACGTAAGAGCATGCTCCACGTATAAACAATTTAAAAAACGAGGTAAGTTATTGACAAACAAGTTGATGAAACAAGAATATCAACAGTCTCATTTAAAGTCATCATTTTGTAAGTTCTAAGGCGATATAATGACCTTGTCAGTAAATACAAGTTATCATTTAGTCAAATACTGACTGACGTTTTTCATCCTAATTGTTAGGCCATAATTTACACACTGAATTGTCTACGGATTTGTCCGTTATTTTGCAAAATGATTTGGGGTTACTGCAGATTTGCAATAAGGTTTCAGAATTTTGATTTTCATGGGGTGGGGGTGAGGTCGAAAAGCTACGTTCCTGTACAAAAACCTTCTTTAAACTCCTCTTACATTTTTGGTAGTAGCCTATTCAGGTTTAGGAATATGATTGATGGTGTCCTGTAGATGTAGAATAAGGTATTGGAATTTTCAATTTCACCCTTGGTAGCGATAGGGGGTCGAAAAACGACGTTTTCCTACAAAAACTGGTTCCCTGAACTTTTACATTAATGCAATTACGCAGTAGCAAATTCAATTTTCTTTTTTTTTGGGGGGGGGGGGGGATATGATTGGTGGTATGCTGCAGATGTGCAACAAGATTTCAGAATTTTCATTTTCACCCTTGTGGCCGATTGGGCGTCGACGTACTGTACATGTGCAATACGGTTTCGGAATTTTGATTTTCACCCTTGGGGTCGATTTGGGGTCGAAAAACGACTTTTTTTCTACATAAATCTGGTTTATTGTGGCTTCGTTCTTGGCTTACTAAATATGAAGTTGAGTACATTTACGCATAGAGTCAACACACACGTGCGGGCATTACTGTCTTACGACAGCATCTAGTTTATAATTGCAAACAAACAATTCATGCAACAAAAAAATGTATATTCACAAATTCACGGATTCTTGTCCTTTCCACAATATCGATGAGTTCAGGGAACCAGGTTGTTGTACAAAAATATTTTTTAACCCTCATTTGGCATCTAGGGTGAAAATGAAAATTTCAAATTCTTTTTGCACATGTGCAGGGCATCACCAATCATATTCCAAAAGATGGATTGGCTGCTGCTTAAAACTATGATGTAGAATTAGTTTGAGGAAGAAACCAGTGTGACAGACGGACGGACAGGATAACAACAATACACCCGAACTTTCTTTAGAAAGCGCGGGTATAATATTTTCCCTTCAGATTTGTACAAAGCAATGTGTTTCCTCATGAACTTGCAAGGACAAGCATGAATATCTCCATGACGTCAAAAATATAGCGAAATATTTTTTTCCTCTCAGAAATGATAGTTCAATGAATAATTTGTGACTAGTTACATGTATCGGATAAATATCTATATAAATATAAGATACAAATCTAATTTTTGAAAATTCATGAAATATGCCAGCGTAAAGCGTCGTAGTTCATGTCCTCATGATTTTTCAAAATCAAATTCATTTCTTCATTGAATCTATATAGAAATGCACTGCAAAGGAGTATAAATGTCATTACAGTATTCTCATATGAGTTTTAAGTATTTTCCACGGCAAAAATGGCCAGTCTTTAACCTCTAGGTTTACTTAATGAATTGTGTTGGAAAACGCCATAATTGCTTAAAAACCAGAGAAACCTCCTATCTAAAATTTTAAACACTGTCAATCATTGACTCTTTGAGAAAAACCGAAAATTTCTACAGTCTGTTGAAACGGTTTACCTTTTAAATAATGTGACAAGTGGGGGCGGGTTCTATAGTTTAACTTATACTAAGTTTCCAGGGATCAGATTGGTTGATTTAGGAGATGTCTAGAAGAAAATATCTTTATAAATCTATAAAATCTTTGGAAATATGACGAATTTTGAAATTTGACCTGGAGGTAGGGGGCAAAACAATATTATCGTTCGCAGTCCTCCAGAACTGGTTTCTGCGTTCTTCACTTGACTCCCAACCCGGCTGTTTTATGGTAAGGAATACATGTATCTCCAATTTTAAAATTTATTGCACGCATTAATTAATTTGCTTCAAATTTTTGATGCGCATAATATTGAATTATTGCTCTCTTTAAATGAATTATATTTAAGGATATTTATAATTGATTTGGTGCCCGCAATATTTCAATTAAAGACAGCAATAATTCAACGTATCGATATCTTAAATGATGATCTCTTTGATTGAATTGTTGCTCGCTTTAAAAGAGTGGAGGCGCGCATTTACACTTCTAACAAAAACTATTGTAAAATATCTTCAATTAAAGAGATCAAGAAATAATTTATACTCTATAATAATAATAATAATAATAATTAGCTCTTTATTAGATTTTTTCACATTTTTGAGCTCATCAATTGCAAAAGTGAGCATCAAAAGATTCATCAATTGAATTGATGACGAAATAATTGAATTAATGCGCGCATCAAATTAATTATTGGTCTGATCAATTTAATTGATACACACATCAGATCAATTATTTCTCTCGTCCATTTAATTGATGACAGCAATAATTGATTTTATGAACGCAAAATTCAATTATTGCGTGCAATAATGAAATTAACGATATCTTTAAATAATTAAAGATATCTTCAAAAATTTAATTTATTAATTTTAATTTTTACCATAGCACCGCCTTTTGAAAATAACCTAAGAATTGCTTTCGTGGTCTTCATAATTCGCGTGAATTTTATTTTTACGTGCAGCGTATGACAAGATTTCATTGAATTTATGATCATGCTTTCAAAGTTCGTTGGTCATTTTTTAATTATTGCTCCATATATGTACAGATCATGATTTGCGAAAATTTATCTACCAATAGTACCACTAATACAGAAGCTTCTACGCAAAGGAAATTGTTCAACTGTATTTAAATTGACCATTGATAAGGTACATATTTTTTTACACATTGCTAGAAATTAAAGGATCACAGATATTGGCTAAAATGATAAAGAGGAGTGTGTGAGGGATACAAGATTTACACCGAAATGGCCAATGTTTGGGAAAGGCATTTTGTTAGGTTTTTGTTGTTGTTGTTGTTTTCCCTCTGTTTTTTGTAAAACTCGAACCAAGTGACCGACTTTTAAATCTTTCCTATGCTCCTCTCCACGGGAATCGCGGTAGATCACAACATTTATTGTCACTTTGATTTAAGCAATATCCTCAACACAAACCCGGGAACCGGGCTCAATTCAGCAAACGTCAGGAATCCCCGCGTGTATAGCGTGTAATTTGACGACTCAGCAATTACATATGCTAGTTTTATGATTTTTTGGTATCATTTGTAACCATAAAAACGTTAAAAACTACACGATTGTATTGGGTTTAGAGAAGCTGTATAAAACCTGTTGATTGTAATCGCGCGCGGCTTTGTCAAAATTTCGACTCAAGCGCGAAGCCTAGAGTGATTTCCGAGCCTGACATTAACCATGTTTCATTCGAAGAATCCCCTACAGAATGCCATGTTTCACCGACCATGCATGAGAAGTACCGAAGATCCACCCTCAATTTTGTTCGAATGGTCAGTGTTGCCAGATAACGAGTTGTTGTAATTCGCCATTCATCTCCGCTCGTAAAGATTTCAACACTTCATTGTAAAATAGGAGCGCGCAAGAAACATTGCTTCACCAACAGAGGCGGGGAGCAGTAAAAAAAAGTCTTGCCCGATCTGTTTCTTGGACCAGACCCAGAAAGGAAGAGGTTTAACAAAAATGACCCCGTTCTCTTCTGGATACCTTGTGAATCACCTATTTACTTCGATGATATAACCTCTTCATTCTTTTTTGAAGTAGGAAAACTCCAATTACATATGTAATACGTTTTTTAAGTTGGAGCACCCGCTGGTTTAATGAAGGAACAGGTACAAAGATCTATTCTGTGTGGGGGAGAGGAGTTGCTAATCGGTCAGTAATTAGCCCCAATGGGATCCCTTGCTATAACGTCTCGCGTAGTAAACCCACCCAGTAGATCTGACAATGAACTGCCTGTCACCAGTGAAAATATTCACACGGAAAATAACAATTCGACACATGACAAGAACAAGAAGACGTTTCTCCGGATCATGGAAAAAGTGAATATGGTTTTCTTGATTGTTTTGGTGTGTTACTTGTCATGGACGATACCCGCTACTTTTGGCTTGTTTGATCCGCCCAGCTCTTCATCATCGACATTACTTCAGAGTAACAGATCGTTATTAAATGGGACGGAAAGATTGATTGTAAGTAATGAAGTTTTTCAAGTATTTTGCTGTAAATTATTCTAGATCTTAATTCAAAGACTCATTGAAACACAAAATTGAATTTTAATTATATAAAAAAACTAACATCTATGAATTTCATCTGAACTCTTTTATACAAAACTATTATTTGTTTCTATAAGGAGTAGATTCTAAAATACTGGAGGACCTCATACTTTTGGGTCAGCTATATCTGTTGAACTAAGCTTGACTCCACGATTAGGATCATTAAGATAACATGTTTACTTTTATATTAGTAAAACGCTAAATTTTTAAATATCAGCATTTAAAAACCATGCACCCACCGATTAGGATTTCAAACTTTCATAAGATTTGACATGTAAAAGCAGGCACCCCTAAAGAATATTTTTTAATGTTCCCATAAAATTAGTAAGATTCATTAATTTTGATGTAGAACTTTATCAACCATTTACAGATCATTTTATCTGCTTTAAGTGGTATTTACTTTTGAAGAATATCAAAAATAAAATCAAATGTTTTGGAAGATGAATTTAGGAAAGCTTTGAGGTAAAAATATATAACTTCTTCAAAGCGAGTAAATAAAGTTCGTTAAAGAATTTAGATGAAGTCAAATAGCGTATTGCACTTGGTTTGACACCCTACAACCCAATGACCCGACAGACGGTCTTATCATGTGACCCAATCAATGTTAATGATCGAAGTTATCAGTACGCTTGGTTGGGGAGACGGAGGGTGGGCATGGTAACGCTGTTGCACGCGCCCTTGCGCTTTCCCATATTTTCTTTCGACAAGGTTATCGACCTTCAATCTACAGTTTTTAACTTAATTTATTTATTTGACAAGTAATTAGAAAACTCCAGATAATGCAATAACAGGAGTGACAGTTTGATTGCTTTTGCGTCTAAATTGATAAACATGCATCTGAAGTGTTAAGACTTACATTTGACCCATTTTTCAAAACTTTATGACGGGTTGTTTCGTTATAAGATACAATGCTATAAAATTGATAAACTTATATTGTAATGTGAGAGAATAAATCGCCCTAATGTGAAAAATCGCTCCACCGGGATTGTGGCTGGAATAATGATTTAAAATATTTATACACACAACTTATGGGGCTTATATCTTTATCTATTCTTCTATTGTTATAGATAGAATCCGTTTAAAGTTGTCTGATTGAAGTCTAATCCAAAAATTCCAATATGTGTGAATGTACTTCCGTCCGTATACAAGATCAAATGCAAAATTGTTTTTTTCAACAGCTTTATTACAGAAAACGAATTAAAAATTCCATTTCATTTAGATTCTAAGTTATAATAGTATATTAAGGCGTGAATCTAGAATATCAGTGTGATGCCGTTTAGTAAACCCTCCCCATAGCAAACCTCCCCAGGAAAGTTTAATGTTAATATTCTCCCGATGAATCAATCTCTTTATAGTCAACATTCCCCAATGCATAGAACCACCCCATCCCCCTTTCCGAAATTTTTATTACATATTAATTATTATTATGTGGAACAAATACTCTATACTGTAAAACTTGACAGTAAGGAAGTCCTATAGTCTGCTATGGATTTATTGGTTCCTTATAACCATATTTTATCTATACAAGAAAGGGTTGTTATATGGGGAATCGGGAAAGAACACAACTTCCTTATAAGCGAGATTTCCTCATATCTGAGTTCATTATAATCGAGTTTTGTTGTAGTGAACCTTACTTCATAGGGGAAAGTTTTTCACAAGGTAAATCTTCCAAGAGAATGACTTACTTTGGGTAAAGGTTTGCTATAAAGAACAAATCCAAGATTGCATCTGCAAAAACGTTATTATAGAAAATAAACCAATGAAAAATTCCATTTCATTTCGATTAGAATGCACAATAGTAAATTAATGTCGAATTGTTAAGCAAAATATAAATGTATGAAAATTCTCAATTAAAGTGTTCAACCTTTTTTCTTTAAAGTGAAAACAAACTTGGTTCTTTCAAACTGCAAACAAGCAACTAAGGTTGAATTGGATCTTCAGTTCATAGAACGCAAGACTTCTAAAGCTTAACGACATATTGGTAGCGACTTATAGAACTGTTTATAAAATAATCACATTAAATAATAACCTTGAATTAATCGATGAATTAGAAGTACAGCCCTTCTTCAAAGAAATTTTTTTAATAATCCAATTTGTAAAATTATCTTTTTAATCAAACATCATAATAAGGAATATTAGAATAAACAGTAAAAACATACAGGTAATAGTTTATTTTCGTGCCTTCCCATTATAATACCATAACATTTTACCCCTGGCTGATATATCCATTTTAAATTTTTTATCATAAAGGATTAGTATTTTTGTTCGAGGGTAAAACAATAAAATATCACCGAATTCCTAAATGAAAGATTGAACTGCTAATGAATTTAAACACTTTCGTCTTTTGAAGTATCTCAACCCTCTACCTGTTGCAAAGAAAAAATACCAGGTGTACGCTTCTCAATCAACAGGCAGCATGCGGCGAGAGCAATTTTTAGAAGTTCGTTTGTTGCAATTAGAACTTTTTCCTGCCAAAAGGTTGAACTAATTACATAAATCAATTGCGTTTGTTTGTATTTAAATTTTCTAAGTATTATATCAGTGTATCGGTGGTAAATCTGGAGATGGTATCTCCATGCCAAGAAAGAAAGAAACTATAGCTGATTCACCCACGCGGGGGGAAATGGCGCTAACGAAGCATTATTTTAAGACGATTGGCGAACTTGGCCCTTTGTTTTTATCTTGTGGCAAAGATAAATTTCTCACACTATCCAAATTCAAAGGAAAACATTCCTTAAAACTAAGATCTACAATTTGATTGATGTTAAACAGCGATTGGTATCGATTTATCAGATTCTAGAAATGCTTGACCTTCAATTTTCTCAATCATCAGCAACAACTTGTTACAATTTAACAAAAGTCTGCGAGAAAAAATCAAACTCTTTGAATTCTTTCACCTTGTTAATTTTTAGAACACTCGAAAATGCTTTAAGTATCATGGATCGTGAGTTCTCAAACTCCTTAAAGTCAGGTCATATAGATTTCAAAGTTCAAAGATTCTTAGAAAGCGCAATACTCTATCTGTATCAAAAAGACACTTGACACGATAGACAACGTATTTATATCAAAAGAAACTTTCATTTCCAAAATAAAGTGTATTATATAAAAATTGAAGGAAACAAAGCTCGAAGCATCTTAGATATAATTATAGTTTCAGAAAATGTAAAAGTTAAAAATAAATGTTCCCAATGAAAGGAAATACTTGTACCAGATCAAGGAATCATCTTTGTAAACACAGGTTCCTGTTTAACTTAAGAAAAACTTTCCTCATTTGATACTACAAAAGAGCTTGAGAAAACTGTCATCTAAACTGATTTTTTTTAATTGTCTCACTGATTTAATAATTGCGTTTTACAAAAACTTATTTAATTTTGCTTGTATTTAATTAAACAAGTTACTGTGCCCTTTCTATCTAAGCACATAGAACGCTGGTGTTACATGTAAGTATATCAAGTGATGGTTTTGTAAATCTATCCCCTCCTCCCCTTCCAATAAAGAGGATTTGAGGTTTCTTAGTAGAAAATGTTTTTCTTTGAAAACTTTCTTTTTAATTAGAATTATTTATTTCGTATGTCAAGATTCATTGTATCTTGCCGTTCTCAGGACTTAGCTTATATGCTTAGCTTTGCTTTGCATCTGAAATAGCTTCCTAGGTGTCGGTGACTCGCATTTCAGATCTTCTATGAATGAAAGGTTAAATTATAAATTCTCATAATATAAAACATGAATGAAATTAAAGATACCATGCAATTAGGTCCACTTGTTTTGCTGAATTTCAGAATACAGTAAAACTTGTTCATGGTGAACATGGATATTGCGAATTCGTTTACAATATTAAACATCAAACCTATTTTTTCCAAGTATTCAAAAATAATGAATTACCTTATAAGGGGTATTTTCTGCGGTTATTCAATTTTTGTGGAATTTGGCGGGAAGAACAAATCGTCAGAAATAAAATCTCAGAATTACCTTAACATATTAAGATAGTATGCATCATCTTTCATTCTCAGATGTGGTAAGTAGCCGGACGGCGAGTTAGTTTTTAGCCCGATTTTACCCGTAATTTTATAACTAATACCTGTACAATATAAATAAAAAAGTTTCTTTCTTTGATGTGAAATAAATGTTATATGAACAGGCACATAAAGATAGTATTGCAATATAGCTATTGTTTTGTTGTCATTCACCCTGAATATGGTAAACATTTCAATTTTCAAATAAGTAAAACATCACAGTGTTCTAACCAATCCTAATATTCGCCTACAAATGATTTTATTTTATTTTATTTTTTGCGCATTATTGCAACTGCAGGAATTGAAAACGTATACATTAATTAATTTAATAGCCTATCTTTCAGAGATCAAATCGCCAAAAATTTCCATCCGCATAAAATACCCGTTATACAGTATATATTGTAAAGTACGGTCTCATTCGCGAACTCAGTCTCGAAAAGACCGTGAATATTAGTGCTTTGCGTGCGCCGCAGTAAAATTTTAAATGATGGAGAAGCCTGTACATCACACACATTTTACCAAGTATTAGAAAATAACGAAACATTAGCTGGAAATTAGGGATTACTGATATAACAAAGCAATTTCAGGCGTTCTTTGTGATTTGATATGACAATGTTTTCTGTATTTTGTCAAATTATTCAACAGTATTAATATAAAATTAATTATATAATATCATATAATAGTGTTGTTTTTATCATTTGTAGGTAGATACAAATGTTGCAAATAAAGTGATACAAGGTTTTGTTGACTTTAACAATGAATCAAAATCTACGACATTCCCAGCAAAACATTCCAAGAAATGGAAGGCAGCAAAGAGAAGACGACAGAAAAAGAAGCTGAACAAAAAGCGAAAGAAAAATAAAAATAGAAAGAATAAATCCATGAAAAGAAAGAAAAGTAAAATTTTTCATAGATTGAAACCTATCACAATCCGTCAGATTATTGAGATGGTTGCACAAGAAGCACTGACTAAAACATCCGGGTCCTACGATTATAATCAATTGGAGGCGGAAATTTTGAGTAACAATTTCCTGCCAAAAACACCAGTTTCCAGTGACGAATCATCAGTGAAACTTCAAATTGATGGTAAGTTTTTGTTGTAGTTTTTAATAAATAAATACTTAATTTTTGAAAGGTTTCCTTCAGAAATGAAAGCATTTTCTAGCGACTTATATAGTTTTGTGTGAGTACATACAGTTATATGTCTGATTACCAGTTGATTCTTCGGCAGCAAGTTCCAAAGAATGGTCGTCTTGGAGTTTGTGTTCTGTTACATGTGGGATGGGACAACAAGAAAGATCACGTGACTGTGGATCAGCGTGTCGTGAAATGGAAACACAGGCCTGCTACCGCAGACGCTGTTATGGTAATATGGATAAACCTAGGAGGAGGGGGGTCACTTCACTTCTGATGGGTTTTGAGTGAATCTGTTTCTACATGTAGACCATTGGTCATTTGCAAAATTATACAATATATCCTTCTGAACTCGAAATAAACATCTGTTTCATATTTGGATAATTTTCTAGAGAAAGACGTTAATGGTAACCTAACAACAAATCTTAATGATAAAGGTGGTGACTTCAACTTTTCTATCGTCAGCTTCCCTTATTTAGTTAGCAATATACCATTATCACCAGCATATAGAGTTTATTTCTCCCAGTTTATTCGATAAGCAAGAGCATGCTCTACGTCCGAACAATTTCTAAAACGAGGCAAGCAATTGACAAATACGTTGATGAAGAAACAAGAATATCAACAATCTCGTTTAAAATTAACATTTCGCAAATTCAGTGGTTGATAAAATGACCTTGTCAGCAAATACAGTCTATCGTTAAGTCAAATGTTGACAGACGTTTCTCATACAAATTGTTAGGTTATTATTTTCACACTGAATTGTCTACAGATCATGACAAAGAGCACACACGGTGGGTATGACCAGTCGACGGGATGCTTACTCCTCCATGGTGCCTAATCCCACCTCTGATGTTTTAGAGGTCCGTGATGTTTTAGAGGTCCTTGTTTGCTCTGCTCCAAATTTATATTGTTCCAATGGACGTCTGAGCTTGATTACTGTTCGTCATCTCTATATTTCATCGACATTTTGTACTTTTATTATACTTTTTGTCATGAACCAACCAAACCATGGATTATAAATATATCTGCATCTTTCTCAAAATTCATTTCGGTATTTATAATATGCAGTTTGATGTAATATCAAGTTATCTGTATTGCAGATGATTCTGTAAGAAAAAAGAACAAATTTGCCTGGGAGTACGAAAATATCATCCCAGATTCTACGTTAAGACCAAAGGATTTCATCAACCCTGGTGAGATTGCAATATAATATGTCGAGCTGTTTTCAGATTTTGTGTTATGTTTCTTTTTCAAAATCGTTTTTATAAAGATTTTTTTCTAATAAATCTTTTTTTTTTTAGAGAAAGATGTATGTAAGAGATGGATGACTTGTAATAAAGACACAATATCATCTTATCTGAAGCGTGCAGCTCTCCCCAGCTGTCCTTGCTTGTATCCATTGCACCTGGGATATAACCCCAAAGTCTGGGACCCCCACACCAAAAAACACTACAGCTGGACTGACGTAGATACAAAGGCAGAGGGCTTATATGCGTACAAACCTAGCGCTAAGTTCTGCATAAGGTCAAAACTTTTCAAAGGTGTGAAGACATTGTCATCCCAGATGTGTTGCTATGACAACGATTTCAAACTTATCACAAGAGGCAAAGGGGCTGGAACCCCAAATTTGATTAGTCCAGAAATGTCCCCTGAACTCCACCACAAACTGGATATTAATCCATGGATTATTTGTAAAGGTGACTGGTCCAGGTAAGTGTCCCCTTTTGACGTAATAAACAAAGTTAGTTCTACCGTTTTTAGAAGAGGTGGAAAAAATAAAAGTTTGTCTTTTTTCCTGATGTTTGCAGGTATAACCAAATTCTACCTCCAGATAATGGCCGAAAATGCTCTTCGAATCCAGATGATAATGTCATTTTGCAACAGAGGGTAGACAGTGAAAATTACTAACAGGACGTGGATGCAATATGACGTCATAAACAAGGTGCCTGTTATTAAAGGACATTGTTTCGGCAGGACGGAGTAAAATTTTCCACTTCCGGTGTTACGAGTCCCATTTTTCGTATTGATGTGTGCTTGATTTGTTGTGACATGCACAAATTTTTTGTGTTGTTGTTGACACAACTGTTCGCTCATACGGGTATCTGGATATTTTATTTTGTATATAAAATGGTTTTATTTTCATAATGTATAAAACTAATAAAATCAACAACATTTGTTTCTCACTAAATTTAATGTCATACAAAATGGAATTCCTCTTTCGAAATTTTAGCAAATATATGCAAATAAAGAGAGTAAGATTATTCATGTAAATAAAGAAAGCTCATTATCATTAAAAACATACAAATAACCAGTCGCAAACAGAAATCTCGTTCATAAACGATCCTTACAACAGCCCCGAGTTTGCAAGATCTACTTGGTATGAAGTAACATTATTTTGGCTACACCCTGCATCAGGACCTGTGTATAAAAAATTGCATATGAATAGTAAATACAAACATCATTATTGACGACATCAAAACTTTACATTTTATTTAAGTTATTCTAAAATGTACATTGTATATTATTTTGACAGTCCCATGGAAACCCATAAGTTTGTCTGTTAACATGTGCGTATGCCCAGATGTGAAAATTGTCTGTGAACGGGTTACGTATGCCTAGATATGAAAATATACTGCAGGGTATCTGCTTGTATTAATTTGATGTGTTAAGGAAGCTCTAAACACTAATGAAAAATGCTTTTTGGACTGAGAGAAAAATGTATCATATAAAGGAGCAACATATTCAGTGAATCTAGTTCATTTTCAACATAGGGTACCTGCCTTATTTTTGCAGAAAAAATGTTCAAAGACAATGAACTATTTGTGAACAGAAATCATTGCTGTTTACTTGCATTGGGAAAATGAATGGAAATAATGTATTCAATTACTTAATCTTGGTCTAACATAACATTAAGAATACTTTAATTCATAAGAAATTGTGTCATTAACTGTAGATTCCCATTTATTCTATTTTTCTTCTAAGGGCAGATCACTCTAACTCAATAAAACTACCCTACAAATAGAACTCTTTAGTGTGCAGTGTTTAGAGCTTCCTTAACTTGATAGTTTGTGATTAGAACATCAAGATTTTTAATATTCTACGCACTTTGCCAAAGTCGCATCTGTACCTGTTTATTCTCAGTCCGGAAGGCAGTAGTGTAGCACTTCATGATTGACTTCCGGACCTCAAATACCTCTACTTCCGCCGTCACAGATTCCCCAACAAATGCTACGTAATAATTCAATTGCAAATTAATAAAAGGGATCATTTGTTATGTAAAAAATCAACAAGAAAAATTTCATTTTTTTGTTAAGGAATTGAGCACTAATCTTGACACCTGGAGCGACGAATTTCATTTCCTGTGATAAGTACACGGCCCCTGGGCCCGGAAGTTTCGTAGAGCACACCGCTGAGATCAATCTGCAAACAAAGAATGCACTATTACATTCAGACCGATTCATGATTTTCCCTTCTTTATTCAACGTTTTTCTGCTTTAAGGATGTCCGCTCCTAAGCCAGGAACAATTATTATTTAATCGAATAAGTATCATGTTTTCCATGTTTGAAATAATTGATAAGATAATAGCTGATCCCGCCTACAGTGTGACGTAAAAAACGTCATAGCGGTTCAACATTTCTTCGACAGGTTCCAATATCTCACTCAGTAGTCGATCTTTGATTTTTTTTTTTCATGGACCGCTCAGAAAAAAACCCATTGGAAATAGTATTTCACAAAAGGGATTATTATTCGGCGCTAGTTCAGTGATCTGCATTCCATAAAGCTGGGGTATTAGAGGTATACAGATATGATAACGTAGGTCCAAGAAAATTGAAATTCATGAGATACTATGTGTACATACTATTCTGGAATCATTTGTCTATTGTGTAGAAGGGAGGAAATTGATATTCTTGAAAAACAATATATTTTTCAACTGAGATGTATATAGTTTACACAAGGAAAGCATAACGTGATAGGATTTTGGGGCAATTTTATAGCGGAATTCATTGTACTTTTGGTGACATTAACCACTTCTGTGCCACAGGGCCGATTTTGGGCCGATCACACAGTTGCGTAGAGTGCCACGGGGCCGATTTTGGGCCGATTTTATTGAACTGAATTGTGACCATGTATTTCTTTTACTTTTATTCACCGTAAATAATTGTTAAACCTTTGCACCTTTTTATTGCATAATATTAAAGTTTTTCATGACTTATTTGTAGAATATCATGAAATTTCAGGCAAATATATGGATAAACGGAGTAAAATTCATACCACTGATGACTCCATGAAATTTTCCAGATAAATGAGTTGTTATTCATAATTATTATTATTGAATATACTCAATGAGATGTATATTGTACACGATTTCATTTCAAATGTATTTTTTCGTACTATTTTAAATTCAATTTATGAGGTATACTCGTCTATTTTTGCAGCAACGTTTAGAATCAACGTAAATTTTGCGTAAATTGCATCATAATCACGAGTACGTGTAAGCCAAACCTTGAGAAAGGTTCCGAGTTTATCGTTCTCCAGTAATTCAGGCCGTTAGATTGATTGATTGTTTGTTTATTGTTTAGCGCCGAGTCAGCAATATTTTAGCCATATTTCGGCGGCAGGTCCTTAGAATATTCCACAAATACGACTAGGCGAGGAGGGGCGGTTCGGACCCCCCTTTACTTACTTAATTTATATAAATAAATGGCGTCGGACCCTTCAAGAAGCACAGACCACATACGGGGGTGTAAGATATATAATGAAAGTGACTCCCCCTCTCTCTCTCTCTATCTTCGTGAAATAGAATTTTGTGATAAGAGGATTTTTCCCCTTGTAAAAAAATCTAATTCGGGTATAATAGGACATAAGTGATGTGATAGTGTCAAGTTTATTCTATTTTGTTACATATGTAGAAATTGCACATGTAATATTTTAAAAAGAACAAATTAAATATTGTTCCCTGTATTGCCTCGTTTCCTGTTTTCGATTGCATTGTATGTTCGATCTATTTTTTCTGGGTGTTCTAGAACACAGGCATAGGACGTATGCCTATATGCAGAAATTACACGCTGCTGAACTAAAAACACCTAATAATTTTTAAAAATATATTGTAAAGATAATCAAAGTTAATAAGTTCATAGGTTTATTTTTGCTATAATTTTCGTCTGAAATTCTCATCATTACCAATACTTTTTTCTGTTTTGTTCCGTTTTAACTTTATGTTATATATAACTTTTAATATTTCATAGATTTTTTTTAGCTCTGTCAGCAAGACGCATGAATACATAAATGTATTACAGTGAAAGGGGTAATCCGATGATTTTGATATCCATGCTTGATGATGTGACTGATATGATCATATTTCTTCCAGAATTTAATGAAAAATAACAACGTAATTTTATTGAAATCTCCTAATGAGGAAATACATGTACAGCCAATGAATAAAATTGGTCTTATGACAAAATGTTTTTTTTAAATTTTATTTATTTTGTTATTAGGCAAATGATCTTTTTTTCTTTGTGTAGGATATCCTAAATATATTCCCTATCAATTTGACCGGAAGTACAGATTATTTTAGATTTTTGCTAAGGAAATTGCACCTCCCTCTGATGATGACTTACAGATCAAGTTAACATGTATACAAAATACAAAGTGTGGTTCTATATTTTGCTGATTTTTATTTATTTTTTTTTGAAATCATGCTAATCATGCATCAGGTTATGCTATTTTTGGGACTATGTTCAAGTTCAGTTTATTCAACCCATACCAAAATATTGGTACATGGGGTACATTAATAACATATATACATTATATACAAAACTGGTTAGAGGTACATATACAAGACAAAAATCATGACAGAAGATTGAAAAATAAATAAATAAATTAATTAATTAATAAAAGGGAAAAAACAAAAAGATTCAATTATTTGAAAATCTAATTAAATCTGTGGTAGAAACTTTTCTTAAGCGCACTCTGGTGAAAATGGAGGGGGGTGGGGGAGAAGAAAATGAAAAACAAGAAACAAAAACCATAACAAACAAACTGAAAAAAAACTAAAAACCTCTTTCATTTTGAGGTGATTATTCTGATCATTCTCACTCTTGTTTTTGGCTTCAACACAAAAAAAGGGGGGGGGGTCTTTGAATTAAAAAAAAAAACAATAAATATAAATTAAATATATATAGCAAATGACTATTACTCAAAAATTGGGTGTATCTCGATACAACCCCCCAACCCCCCTTCCACCCGTTAGTACGTACCTGCAACGAAATACGCCTTTTTAAACATCGCCCATCTCCTCACAAACACATGCGATTTCCACATACATTCGTATCGCACATTTAAGGACCCTCTATACACCAGTGCAAAATGTTTTTTGGACATTGAGAAAATTATATTGAATAAAGTTGTACACCCAAACTCAATAAATTGGTGCAATTCAAGATATTTTTTCTTCAAAAATCGACTTTTGATTATCCATCTGCTAATAACATTTTCGGATAGATCAACATATCAAGTTTGTATTCCAAAAGATTTTTCAAGTTAAGTTCATTGGTTAAAAAATTACGTCAATTTGAAATAAAGGTGTATTGTTGATCATTATTTGCTGAGAAACAAGCGTTACGTATCATATAATAGTTTTCCTTTAAGATTTTAGGATGAAATAATATAGATTGTAATAAATCCTCAATGTCAAAAGCAAATCAGTCTATTTACTTTCGTGATAAGACAAAAAAGCTCAACTGTCATAATGTATTTTATGAATTGATGCAGTCAAATTGTCGTATTATATTTTTTCTTCAAATGAATTTCACATATCTCTAAAATTTTATATTTCAAATATGCCTCAAGAAAAATCAAAACTGCCCAGCGCAAATGGGGGTTCTAAATGAATAGAGGATCCATTTATAGAAACGTTAAATAAAATGTTGTTCATGAATTGTGATCTTGTTCTTATTTACACTTTCAAATGCAACAACGTTCCTGTGTAACGAATGTTTCATGAGAAGTAATATTTACTGTTTTTAAGATTAATTCCAACAAAATGGACCAATTCATGAGATGTAATTTCTGCTCTACTTGTGCCATTATATTGAAAATGTCAAAAGAAATCATAATTTGAAGTGCATCATCTATATCATCGTGTCATATTTTCCTTGAACTGTACTATATGTACAAACGGATAAGAGATATATGTAAAATTGTCTGTATAGACGTTTTAACAGAACCTAAAATAATGTAAATAACAATATTTCTGACGGCTTTTAGCTTGAAATCATTTAACCATCAATGGAAACTTCCTTCGTATTTCTGCTTGGGTCAATGCTATAGTTCAACTAAAATAAAATTCTGAAACGTACGTTACTTACATGTAACATAAAATGCGAGTTTAACAGTATCAAAATTATAAGAGAGAAACAAAAAACCCTGATGTAGATTCAGAATAGAAACTCAAGCCTTTGTTTAATCAATATCATACGATTCAGTCTAAAAATGTCTTTCAAAATAATTTCGATTAATGTTTTTCTTCAGAATTAATGTGTGTGTTCAATAATGCGTCTCTAGAATCAGTTTATATTAAAATTTATGCAACTTAAGCTTAAAATGATACAAATCAATCAATAAAGTTTACATTCGAACAATTAGTCATGAAAGAAATTCTGTAAATATTGTTGCAGTTTTGATATATGATTTGTTAAAAATTTCGTAACATTCGTTACCTTCGGTAACGAATGTTTCAACACCTTTCAGGACTAATAGAGGACATTCAGGTGCAGATTGATACTGGTTGCGTAGTTGTTGTCGGTCTTTATATAAATATTAACAGTTACATACTAATTCATTCCATTTGATTCATTTTTATTGCATTCTAGAAAACAAACTCACCAACACTGCCTAGACTTCAGAAGAAAATCATGAAAAGGCAGTACCGTACTCCGGATGTCAAAATTTGAATACTGGCGCAAAATATTTGACTACGTATATGTGCAGAAGATGTTTGAACTCATAAATCATTCTTTTTTAAGAGGTTTAGTAACGAATGTTTCGGTAACGGTTGTTTCATTTAATCATTTTCTCTTAAATAGTAAGCTAACAATAAGACATTGTTAAATCATGGTTGGAGCATGGAATACAGTTGTTGGATAGAAGAAAAAGTATCACATGTTTAACTATGATATCATTCTATTTCATCTATTAAACTAATACAACGAATGTTTCATGCCTATCCATACGCATGTAAAATAGGAAGATAGAATGTAATTTCAAAGTATTGGTAACATATACAAGGCTTTGTACCATTTATTTTTAATTTTCAATAAGTTTCCTTCAAAATAAAACGTATTCCAATCTTACAGGCATACAATACCGAATACTCATACTATATTTAATGTCACAGTCCGTTTTTATTTTGTTTCTGGCGACATGGGGATATCAAATAAAAGTATGGTAATATATTTGTGATTATGCTCAATAATTCATTAAAAGCATTTTACAAATAAATGTTTTGAAGACATATGCTATCTAATTTAAGATTCAACTGTTATTTGTACAAAAAATAGCCATTTAAGTGTAATTATTCGATGTTGGCGACAGTAACGTACGTTTCAAAAAATCACTTTATGCCAAATAAAATATCTCAATATGATTTGTTCACTTCATTTTTGTATTTTTGCCTTAAAGGTTACATATTCATGCATTCATTCAAAAAGTATTTTCTTTGACATTTCATTATTTTTTTACCCTTAACCCCCAGCGACATCATTTGCACCATTTTATTGAGCTTGAGTGTGTAAATATTAAGCTTATATCAATTTAATTTTCAATATATGGTACGTGGCATTTACCTCCAGGAAAAATGTTCTCAGACAGTCAAGTATCAATGAACATAAATCACTATTGTTTACTTCCATGGAGAAAATACATGCAAATAAAGTGTTCAATTAATTTATCTTGACTATTTAAAATGTTATGAATGCTTGAACTGGTTACAAATTAAGTAATATACTGTAAATTTCAATGTTATTATTATGAGATGAAATTAGAAGCGATCTGAGACATCTTGAAAAAGTATCACATCTTTTTACACTATGCATTTCATAGCAATTGAAGTTTACAGAAGAATATCGCCTACTGTATTAAAAAACATGCATTTTCCGAATGCCTTGATACCTATAGTTTTTTTAATCCAAAAATAAAATTGTTGAGCAATTTTCAATCAGGAATACTGGTAATTAGTGCTTTTTTTTTAAGTTTCTTAACTATTTATTTGATGAACTTTAAAGAAATAACATGGATAATCCATGCAGTGACATTTTTGTGAGCATTTAGAAAGCAAAGGTGTTTACTTCAACATTTGTACAGGCCTTACTGTAGTAAATGCGATTTAAAAAAGTTCAAAACTCACCCGTTAATAAGGACACCGTGTACGATACATTTTCCAAACTTGGTCTTTTCAGCAAAGTCGGGATCGGTATGCAATGGGTTGTTGTCCAAACTTAATTTTGCGAAAGAATGTACGTCGTCTTTTGTGAAAGTTTTTGTCAACGAAGCTTTGTCTCCTACATTAACCGATGTATATTTTCTCGTAGAGAGACATCTTGCACACTCTCCCACTATTAAATAATTAGAATATCGCGGACAAAAGCTTTTAAATATGCTCGCACACATTGCTCGTCACGGCGCAAAGGGAGGCAACTTCAACATTCATTGGGTAGTATTAGGATAAACAACACCAGGGATCGACATTAACGGTTGTCCGATTGCCCGGGACAAGTAAATTCTCAGTTCGGGCAAGTGAAATTGTCGACATACTTGTCCGATCGGGCAAGTGAATTTTTCTCATACAAATGTACATATTTATTTAGTTTACATTAATTTATAAATAAAACAATAAATTGAACACTCGATTTCCGCCACGCACCTGACTGACAATGTTTTGCATTCGAAATTCCTTGGTAGCGTTTCTGGATTATACCGTTCATATAAAAATCGATTTTGTTGTTTTCTTTCGTAGGAAATACACTCTACGTCTAACAAAATTTTGTTTTAACTTCTTATTATGAAATTAGATTATTCACGCACAGAATATAAGTACAGTGTAACACATTGTATCCCGATCAAGGTAAGATGTATGTTTCGTAGTAACTATCTTCCTTAAGCGTTGCTTCACAGTTATCGCTAAAAATCACGAATCACAAAATGATCCTACCGCAATTAATTTTCAAAAATATGATTTTTTTAAAAAGGAAACGGAGGGTTATTGCTGCATGGCAGTGTATGTTAACAGGTTAAATTTACAAGTACAGCGGTATACATTTATGTACAAATGCAGGATCGAAATTGTTTCAGGTACCCGGTAACTCAACTTGCCAAATTGACAGTAGTGTATTTCGTCACATTTTTTCTTTTCATAACGTTTGCAGTAATTAATAATTTCGTCTCAAGTTCCATCCTAATTTTGGGCAACCAAGTTTTGCATTCGGACAAGTCAAAGTTTGAGATCACTTGCCCGAAGGGCAAGTGAATCTGAAAGTTAATGTCTATCCCTGAACACAAACTTTTCTTTTTCAGAAGTCAGCAATATATCACAAAGATTTATGTTCATATAGGTAACCTAAATAATGATTACCAGGGTAAGTGTGGAAATTTTGTTAGATTTTGTAATAATGTTAAAAATTGTGTTGCAAAATTTTGAATAGATTTACATAGAAATGGACCCAAAGTCGCATATTTCAGCACTAAAAAACTTACGAATTCTTTCTATTTCAGTTATTTAAGGAATGACTTTAATAGCTACCCAAGTTATACTGTATAACCTGGATTGGGGTAGTTTACGCTTAATAAACCGCGAAGCGATTTTTAAAAAAGCGTAAACGGTTCTAACCCAGGTTATACCAGTATAACTTGGGAAGCTATTAAATTCATTACTTATAATTTAATTTTCCATCATTATTTAGACTAGATTAGTGTAGAAAATAAGATAATTTCTCCTTCAAAAATGCCTTCAAATTGTACATATTTTAAATGTAACGTCAAGCGGATTGATACGTTTTTGACGTAAATCAGAAATGACGTAGCAATAGGATATAAACTAATTTTTTATCCTATCAAATGACGCGTTACAACCTAAATTCAATTATTATTAATTATATCATTTCCATTCAGAATCAGTCAAAAAGTAGATATCAATCCATGCATCAATTTTCTGTTTGTGTTATTTATCCTTAAAAGTCACCAAATTATGTTTAAAACTTATAAATAAAGCCTTTCAAACAATATAAAACTCCAGAAAAAAATCATCGACATGTTTACAGATTAATCAACCGGTAATCTTTAAACACAGGCACTTGTTTCGGTAATGATTTTTTTTAACCCATGGTATAATAATAACACAAGGTATCCAGCTCCGAATTCATAGAGTACCCCCTCCCCATAATCGCACTCATTCACACTTTCAGAGGAAATGTACTGGCAAACTGTTTAACACCATTGTCTTCTACGATAATTTATCTACACAACCATATATGGCATGCATGTCTTTATTTTCTTTTATCTCCGTAAACAGCTTCGGAACTATGCTCGATGAGTGGAAAAGTCTAATCACACCATGATACATGTATGGTATGTGCTAATCCCGGGTAGAGATTTTGATTGGCTAAAAATCTGTTTCCAAAATTACATCGGAAAAATATCGTAGTGTTTTTATGGAAAATGAGACGTAAACAAATTTTATTTATTCACTGAAATATTTAAATACTGAAAATCGTATGAGATAAATAGAACATCTATGGTTGTCTGAGTTGATATTTAGTTTATCCAACTCGTTGAAATGGTGTATATTCGCTCGACAAGCCTCGCGAATATACACCATTTCAACTCATTGAGTAAACCAAATATCAAATCACACAATAAAGATAATAAAGATATCCTATATATATATATATATATATATATATATATATATATATATATATATATATATATATATATATATATATATATATATATATATATATAATATGTGTGTGTGTTGTGTGTGTGTGTATTACAATTTAAATGCGAACAATACCTTGCCGAGCAAAGTTTGATAGAAATCGCCTTTAAAATTGACACTTTTTTTTTTGAGAAGAAATAAAAATCATTAAAGGCAGTGAGAGTTATCCCCCTTATCTGAGGGTCAGAAGACCTTAAGCACAGGTACAGGGATGTGAAGAAAATAAGAAAATTGCCGAACTTTGCTTACCATAGCCGCGTTTCGTAGTGTACTATTCTAATCTCTCCATTTTGTGAAATCCTTTACATGTCATTAACTCCTTTAAAACCTTCCAAGAAAGGGGCAATGACACATATATATTTCCCTGGATAAAATTTGCATCTGCAGTAGCCTTCAAGAGGACTACTATTGGTACACACATGTCATCATTAATTCTGAAAGAAACTGTATTTTTTTTTAAAGTTGGCGTTTATCTTTTCTTTTTTTTCTTTTTTTTTTTTTTTTTTTTACAAGATCTTGTTAAATATATGCACATAAATTTACTTGTAATCAATTTTCTTTGACATTATTACAGAGTTTACAGATCATACCTGTGTCTGAAGTGAAAAGCTAAAAATATAATGATTCTTTGAGTTTTAATGTATAGAAAGGTAAATTAGGTAATTTATATGTAAATTAGACAAAAAGTATATCCTTGGAGTTTTTGCATCAATTAACTGGTTTGCACAAGTTTTCAGCCAGTGTTTTATATTGCAGTCTTTATATATTTGTGGTTTGATTCATAATAAATTGAACTTTATTCATTGACTTTTTTATCTGTATCAAAGCGATGAGAAGATGAGATGATAGGCAAAATACTCTACCTTGTACCAAATCTGTATAATGATTATCTTCAGATTTCTTTCTGATAAAATGGAAGATGAACCGATAATTTTTATATATGACGTCAGACTGTGAAAGATCACACGTTTACACAAAATACAGTATTTAACCGATGATCCGTCAGCACAAAAAGTAAAGAACTTTAATTAAATGGTAATGTCTCGGGGCAAATGATCTTTTTTGATATTTTTTAACAGGAAATTAAAAAAGCGAGCGATTAATAGGTTCCGTGTGAACAAATTGGTTTTCTGAATATAGAGAATCAATCAATGAAAAACCAAAAGTGACGTTTAATATAGCAATAAAGATAGCATAAGGAACGGCTAAGTATCACAGATCCGACTTCTAACTTCGCTACAGTTAGTCAATAAACGACTCAGGTTTCGTCGTTACCTTCAAAATCTAAGCAAATATTCCACACATCATATAACCATCACACTATTGAAAAGAAGTACAGCAAGAGTCATTAAATTAAATGTCGCTTTATTGTCTCATACCCAGATGAATGACACATATTGAGTGCTTAGGTTTTCTGCTTCTTGCGTTGGTTTTAACTATTTGATTTACTGATGCTCAAACATGTACTTGCTCCCTAGAATGGGTTGTAAATTATGGTTTTGTATCGAATAAGGAATGGTTATTGTCCGGATATGCATTGGTTTTATAGTGATAGGCCTAGGTAACGGAGTTCAACAGCCGACAATGGCACACAGAAATATTTCTAAGCCAAAAATAACCAAGAAAACTCAGACTTTGGCGCAGGGGTCTTTCGGATGCCCAGGACGATCTTGTAGACTTGGATGTGCTTTTTCTACCAGACAAAAGCAGGCTAAAGAGAGACCAAAGGTGATCGTTAATGACTTATCAACCAAAACAAAGACTTTACCCAAACCAGATTGCTATTCCTTGGACGAAGGACTACTGGACGTACAAGAGCCAAACGGTAAAGCATCTGAGTGTAAGACAGATGATGTTTCTTCAAATGATCTTTCAAGAAGTAACTCTCTAGACAGCATAATAAGTGGTCTTTCAAACGATTCCGCCGCGTCAGAAGAAAGGCAAAATACCCTGCAATCTGTAGCTTCATATCTAAGCATCGGCTCTAAGGAAAGGCCTTTTACCGGAAATGACATCAGCACAACTGAAAGTAACACAAAGGAATACATCTCAAATGACGAGGAATGTTCCGAAATTAGCACTTTCACAGGCAATATATCAGACACTGATACAAATGAAAACTTTGAAGAAACATCACAATTCAGCTCTTCTGGAGTAGCAAGTGAAACTCCAACTGAATGTCGCTCCAGCAATGAAGAGGAGGAGGAAGAAAGAAAAGGACCCACCAGATCTGTTTCCTTTATAACACCAAAGAGAGTAAATGAAGAGCATAATGAGGACATACAAAATCCAGAAGATATTAACCACTGTAGGCCTCATTATCGACTGCGACGAACGAAAAGCTTTGATCCAACCCTGGAAAAATCAAAAACTTATCTCCATGGTCAAAATAAGAATTTTAGTCGTGCCAATGCTTACCTGACCCCAGCAAGACCAGGTCTGCAAAAACTTCAAATCAACTACACTCAGACCAATACTGAAAACAATCACCTCTGTATATTTGCAGACCTCATTAGGACGTCTCATAAGAGAAATTTTCTCACCGAGGAGGCCATAAAAAACCTCGAGAGAAGACTACAAATACGCCGAAATGATCCGAACAGGGCCACATCATATTACGTCAACAAAGGTATCAAGGACCCAATCAGGAGCAAGAAAAAGAAAACTGTTCGGA